TCTCTCTCTGCCCCTCCCCCATTCACGCTCTGTCTGTCTCTGTTGCAAAAGTAAATGAACGTTGAAAAAAAAAAATTAAAAACAAAACAAAAAAAAAAAAAAACAGCCTAGAGCAAAGAATCCGTAATAGGCAGGCCTGGTCTCACCTCTTACCAGGCTCGTTCCTATACAGACTTGCGTCTGTATCATACATGGGGAATTAGACTGAAATCAGAAGAGGTAACACAAGTTCCAAAGAACAGTTCCAAGAAAAAAGGAGTGATTCGTAGGTTATTCAGAAGCTGGCAGCTGCTGAAACAGAGACACTTGTAGGCACGCCTGTGTTTGTGCTACACGCTATGAGGGACACAAGCACAGTGTTGTGGTTCATCTGTCACCACTGGGCGGGCCGTGGCCCCACAGGGGAGGTAAGGCACAGGCCTGCAGAACCGCCGGGACCACACAGGCGAGGCTGGCTGTGCGGAGCAGAGCGGGAGGGCAGGGCAGGACGGTCCATTTACAGGAGTCTTGCACGGCCACCTGAGGGATTTATACTCAGACCTAAAGATTTTAAGCAGAAGAAGGACATCAAAGAAAAATATTTTCTTGAGAGGCTTGATCTGGTCTTATTGTGAAGGACAGACCAGAGCGGGAAACAGCACCAGGACAGCTCACTGCTCGTGGCTCAGCCTTCTTTCTTTGGGGGACAAATTCAATTATATTTGTCTTCTGAGCATGATATTTTAATTCAACTAATAAAGCACTTTTGAGCAAACAAATGCTATAATCTTTGATATTTACCTGCCGTTTGCTCCCTGTTTTTTCCTCAAAGAGCCCTGAAATACACACGCTCCTCACACCCAAAGTTACCATGGGAATTATCTATGTGGTGTATGTCATGCACAAATAATCCCTAAGCAGGAAATGGCCTCCTATACCCATATCTCACAGGCAGCCAAAATTTCAGGCATTCATCCCCAAAGAAAAGCATGTAAAAGTTGAAAGAAACACCATAGCCTTCTCGTGTCATTTGCCACCTCACGTGTCTTGGGTCCAAACAACTACCTGCCGCGCTTTTCGACCACGAGGTATTTTTTTTTTTATGTCATATGCTTGGAGGAAACACCCTAGTGCGTGGTGACAGAACAGTCTCAGCAGAGACAGCACAGCAGAGAATGTGCTTCTCGTGGCCTGAAATGACTCTGAGGCACCAGAAGCAAATGGCCGGTGCCACAAGGGTGTGCGCGTACCAGAACGCTGGACCGAACGGTCAAAGCCAGGGGAGGCCTGGCAGAGGGTCAGGCCAAAGTCAGAGGTGGACAAAGCAGCCCGCAAAGTCGGACCAATGTAGTTACTCCCACTGGGCAAGAGAGCTGGACGGCAGCATTAGGTGTGCAGGGGCTCTTGTAGCATGTCAGACCACAGGTTCATCGTCCGTCACAGGCAGTGCCACCTGCTGTGTTGTAATGCAAGACCCCAGTGCAATACCGTAACCGCACTGTCCTACAGAACACTACCCGAATTCAACCCTGGCGCCTGTCAATACGACAGCATCCAATTATCCAGGACCACATTCTCCTTTACAAACAACGCCAGAAAACTGCAGCTGGGTTCCAAAGCGGGTCACAGACAGCAGCAACTGAACCCAACATTCCTGATGTAGAACCACGCACTCTGGGCATCCACCACCCAGCAGGGACAGTGAGGGCAGGAGAATACCCAAATCGGTCAGAAGAATAAATGGACCCTTTAGGGTTGTGATCCTTTAACAGATTTAAAATCATGGATCACCGTGGAAAAAAGAAAGGAGCAAAACAGTTTCCCACAAAAACGGACAGCAGACGGGAACCACTCCTCAAGGAGCAAGGAAAGGCAATCAGTGGTACACAGCCTCTAAGGTGGCCCCATGATCCACTCCCGGTATCTCCTGGAGTGTGTGTAGAACTGGGACTTGCTTCCAGTCAACAGAAGACGGCGACGGTGCTGGCCGTCACTCCACGGAGCTTACGTTACAGGAGCTCCATCTTGCTAGCATCCTCCTCGTCAGCGTAATGAACCCGGCCGCCACACCAGGAAAACCCATATGGCAATGAACGTGGCCTCCAGGTCGGCCAGAGAGAGGCCAGGGCCCCGGATCGTACAATCATGAGGATATAGATCTGCCCAACAACCTGAGGGAGCGTAGAAGCAGATTCTACCCCAGCCATGCTTCCAGATGAGAACCAAACCCTAGTCAACACATTGACTGCAGCCTCGTGAGCCAGGCCGGGCCCTGACTTCTGACCACAGGAGCAATGGAACAATAGATGTGTGTTGTTTTGGGCCTCTACGTTTGTGGTGATTGTTGTGCGGTGACAGAGTACTCCTCCGTGGCCCCGTCATGAGACACTGAGTGGGTTTGCATTTGTTCTCTCTTACACCTTCAAGGACTTAAAACCAGAGCCCAACATTTCTCCTCCTCTGTTTCAATGGTGGAGTTAACCTTTCCTGGACCTGAAACTATTTTTTCTTGGTTAAGGATGAACAATTTGAAAGCAATTGCCTCCTCTGGAAGCATGGTATGCACTAAATGACTATTATTTCATTTTTTACAAAATTGCATATTTGCCCTGTGTCACTCTTCTGGGAGTTACGGGAGCTACAAAGATAAGCAGCGCACTGTCCCTGTGCTCAGAGTGCGCACTGTCTGGAAAGAAAGACTAAAGCAACCATCTACCCATTCGACAAATATTTACCTTAAGCCTACTATAGGCCTCCCCCGCTTCTAAGTGCTGATGAAACAGCAGGGAACGGAACAAAGCTGTCCGCCCTCTGGGCAGGAAGACATTATGATAAACTGAAGCGCACAAACAAGTATGGCAGAGACCAAAAAGCCTCCAGGGGATGCACCACCTCTGCCGCCATCTGGCACCTGGTCTGTATCTCTTCACTCAAGAAGGGGCAACCTCATGGTGGTTTCCAGTAGGTCGTGAATTCCCCTGATTTAGTTGCAGTTCAGGACTTGTGCCGAAGGACCTAAGAACCATCGATGGCTTCCCCACACATTCGGTCACAGCATCCTGATCCTGAGAAACAGATCTGATACAGACTTTTCATTCCGATGTGAACACTCAGCACCACGTGCCAAGCCCTGGTATTAGGTAACAGGAAGGGTTTCTAAAATAGTCTGTTAAGATAGCAGAGACACATCTGACGACTGCAGGAAGGGGAGGAAGAATGCAGAATGAATTCACTCTAAGCACTCTTACTAAACAGGCCCCGAAAAGAGGAGGAAAGAAAAGGATACTCAAGGTTCACAATGGCTTCTGGCACCACACAGGATGTTCCCCCCTCCCCGGCCGCACTTCCCTGCCGGCAAGGATCCAGTTTTACTGTCTTTTGGGAAAGTACACCTGGTAACTGTGCACCTTGGTTTCTGACATTTACACAGTTGCAAGGGCCTCATAAACACGCGGTGTACTTCCAGCCGTGAGCCTCCCTATGAACTATGCGGTAGGAGCTTTGGGGAGTCTGGCCCCTCCTTCTTATTTCAAGGTCACTGCTCAAAGACACCTACCTGTGGCAAAGGCCGCTGGCCATATCCCCCACAAAGTTCCTCTGATGAAGGATGGCATGGGCTGCTGACCCTGATTATGGGTGCATTCTTTTTTTTCAACATTAAAAGAAAAATTTTTTTTAATGTTTATTCATTTTGGGGAGGGGGGGGCAGACAGAGAGGGAGACACAGAACTCAAAGCAGGCTCCAGGCTCCGTGCTGTCAGCACAGAGCCTGAGACAGGGCTTGAACTCACAAACCATGAGATCATGAGCCGAAGTCAGACGCTTAACTGACTGAGCCACCCAGGCGCCCCTACGTGTGCATTCTTAATACAGCTATTTTTGGAATTAAGAATATGAATGGCCGCAAAGGACAGTAAGAATGTGAGAGGGAGGGAGAGAAGTCAGGGCAGGTTCTTTTGTAAACACACACACCTGAAAAAACTGCCTCCTTTTGATGATGCATAAAATAGCAACAATAACAATGAAGTACCCATACTCAGTGAACTTGTTATTTTAATCAAAAGCTAACAGGAGTAATAGCTTTCAAGTATTTTAATAGTAGAACAACCCATCCTTCCCAAACCACATCTGCCAAACCCAAACTTAAGAATCAAATAAAAGTGGAGCCTCTCTTACACAGAGAGATGGGAGCCACTGAGCCCCGCTGGCTAGCCCTGACCTGCCCCCCGCCCCCGGCCTGGCTCCTTGGCCCCCCTCAGGACTCTGCGGCTCCAAGGCCCAGCCTGAAATGCACTGGCCTATAGTCACTACATATAGCCATACATATGGCACTACTGGCCATAGATCACTACAGCACCTGAACCTAAGAATAAGCTACGGGAGAATCCCTAAGTGAAAGGGGGGGAAAGCAGAAGAATAAAGAGATAGAAGCAGGAGGAAAGGCTTGAGAGCAGGAAGGAAACTGGAGCCTGCCCTTGACCCTGAGAAGCACCAAGGCTCCAAGAGTCAAAGGCAGCACCGCAGTGCAAACCATCAGTGTCACGGCATTGCACACCAGCACGGACAGGCCAGGGGCCGCTGCCCAGAACGAGGGCCACCAAGGGCTGCACACCACGCAGCAGCCCCGCATCCACACCGGGAGTGAGCGGCGGGCTTTGGCAGATCCTCTCTCCACAGCTGCCCTGATGGACATAGATTTCACCTGGGATGTCGGTCTTCCCCCCCCAGTTCCCAAGCCTTGCATCGGGCAGGGTATTGGGAGTTCTGTTTCAAGGAAATGCAGAAATTTAATAAGCCCGCAAAAGTGAAGGGGCACTCGCGTTTTCTGACGAGGGGATGGGCCTGAACTGCTAAGGGCTCTGAAGACGCGGAGCAGTGATAGATAAGCTTTAAAAGAGGATGACGCAGGGTGTAGCTGTCAGTTAATTCATAAAGTCAACAGCCAACTGAAGGTCTAAACGGACAATCCATTCTAGTGCCCAAGAGACCGCCCTGCCAGCGTGTAGATGGGCAGAATGTACCTGGAACAGGATGTGAGGACTTGTCACCTCGTCACCCGAGGATCGCCTGGGTCCTGGAGCAAAGACGTCTCAGGAGGGATGAGATGGGCACTTCCGGCTCCTGGGAAGCAAAGAAGAGACGTTAGGCGCCACCCACCTGGGCCCCAGAACCTCCATGCCTGTGGCTGTGAGGCGAGGGATGATTCTGTTCAGCTCGGAGTCAGAAAAGACACCCGACCTATAACACCAAGCAAAGGTAGGTGGCATCAGAGGCCAGGCAGGTAAGGGTCCCTTCACGGGGACTGAACAGACATATGGTGAAGCACCACTGGGCAGGGGACAAGACAGGAAACTGGACGAGATGTCCTCCGAACCAGAGATCTTACCATGTGACCTCCACCAACGAGGACCAAATCTCAAACAAGCATCACCCAGACAGACTCCCTCCACAGACCTAGGGCACAAAGGTAGATGGGTGGTAGGTGGGAAGGCACAAAGCCGTGTGGGGAGAGAATCCACCTCCCCCCCCCCCCCACCACCTCTGACAACTGCACTGAGAACGGAAAGTGGCGGGGGCAGAAACTCTTATCTGGGTCCCTCAGGAAACAGTCAGACTCCACCTGTGAGTGGCCATCTTGCCAAAGACTCTCTGGACCAGCTGACAGATGGGCACAAACGTACGCCTGCCCTGGAGACTTCAGGATGGGCCAGGGTGCTCTAAATGTAGAACGCGCGCTGTCACCATAAGCCTAGCGGAGTGGCCTACAGTCCCACAAGGAATGGGATCGAGTGGCCGGAGCCCCCCCATCCGAAAGCAAGTTACCTCTGCTGATATAAAGTCCTCTGTCTCCTCAATCCTACCACTTCTACTTTGCACACACTCGCGCGCTCACCCAGGAGCTGGAGAGGTTTAATTAAAGTCTCCTGACGTGATCTGCACTAATGAAACCCAGAGCGGATTATCATTACACCAAAGATGCACATCAAGACGCTAATCAACAGAGTTTTGGAACTTCCACAGCAGCAAACCAGATTTCCAACCACGGAGATCCTACTCTATCCCGACCCACACCTTTTGTACGCTCATTGTACTCGAGGCTTCGTTCTTTTCCGCTTTCTATTTGCAAAATGTGAAAACCTACAGAAACACGAAAGGAACGTTTACATACCCTTCATCTACATTTACCGACATTTCTCATTTTGCCGTGTTCGTTTTATTTTTATATACACTTTTCTCGTGAACCATTTGATAGTGAGCTATAATAGCTACCGTGACACTTGACCTCTATTTTGGTAACTCCTAAGAACGACATCTCCGGCAAAACTGCAATGCCATTATCACACCGAAGACACTGAACATGCAGTCGATGGCATCTAAAACACGGCCCATAATCAAATGCCCCAAATTGACAGCGTGTTGCTCTTTCTCTATCATATGCCAGGTACCACAAGGGCACTGAGAGGGTCACGGCCCCGCAGGGGAGACTGACCTACAGATGCCTTACTGGGGACAAGGGCACTGAGGTGGTGTGGCTCATATGCGAGTCTCTGTCTTGGCTGAAGAGAAAGTGGTTGGCCCCACCTGAAGACTTGAGGAAAGGCCTTTGCAGTGAAGCCCTAAAGGACAAGTCTAGCCAACATATACACAGCAGGAACTGAACTGTGAAACTAGACAGGCTTGAATGTGGTTGCCAGAATAATACTGTCCCCCCCCCCAACCCCAAACATCCAAATCCCAATTCCAGGAATTGGTGAATATGTTAGGTTACACGGCAAGGACGAATTAAGGTTGCCAGAGGAATAAAGATGCTAATCAGCTGACCTTGAGATGGGAAGATTTTCCTGTGGCGAGCCTGATGTAGTCACGAGGGTCCACCAGGTGGAAGAGGGGGCGGGAGAGTCGGTGTCAGAGGGATGCAATGTGACAAAGACACCATCAGCCACTGCTGGCTTTGAATGTGTCAGGGGACCAGGAGCCAAGGAAGGCAGGCAGGCTGGGAGGGACAAGGAACTAGACTGTCTCTCAAGAGTCCTCAGAAAGGAACACACCCCTGCCACCACCTTGACTTGAGCCTGGTGAGATGTATTTCGGACTTCTGACCTCCATCCAGAACCGTCAGGCAATAAATGTGTGCTGTTTTAAGCCAATGAAAAAACAAAAACAAAAAAACACAGAGGCTGGAAACAAGGCTGGAAACTATCAAAGTGCTGGGAGATGGGGGCAAATTCATCCAAGTCCTTGTGGCCAAGTCAAGAAAACTACACACACTTTGCCCTTCCGGGAAGGGAGAGACAGCCAAGTGCCATGATCGGATCTGTATCTTAGGAACAAAACTCTGAAATAAAAGGAGCAGAAGCTAGAAGGAAAATAACTAGCAATGCTTGTTGCCAACGATAAAATTTGAGCTTTCAAACAAAAAAACAACAACAAAAAAAAATAGAATTTTGGAAAACTTGCATCTGTCACCAAGAACTCAAAAGATTCCCAAAACTTAAAACAGTTTTCTGATGACACTGGTGATGTTAACAAATGCGATTTTTAGAAAACAGTTACATGATGAAATCTGTCAACGTTTGAAGATCTGCATAATTCAGTAAGACAGTATTTCACTGAAACATGGACAAACGACTGATTCAAAGTACAAAGCGTAATTTTTGAAAAAAGTACAAAACAAGACACATTTTCAAGTACAAAAAGCCTGTCAATATGGTTTTAGATTCCACTGTAGAACCAACTACCTCCTTTCAAGTTTTTGTGCAGTATCGAAAAAGAACACTCAGGGGCGCCTGGGTGGCTCAGTCGGTTAAGTGTCTGACCTCGGCTCAGGTCATGATATCGAGGTTCATAAGTTCGAGCCCCGCATCGGGCTCTGTGCTGACAGCTCAGAGCCTGGAGCCCGCTTTGGATTCTGTGTCTCCCTCTCTCTCTGCCCCTCCCCTGCTCACACTCTTTCTCTCTCAAAAATAAATAAACATTAAAAATAAATAAATAAATAAATAAATAAATAAACATTTAAAAAAAAAAAAAGAACACTCATAATTATCCAAAAAGGCTACTATCCTTTTCCAAGTATCTACCTGAGGCCTATTTTCTTTATATATTTCAGCTAAAACAGACATCAAAACCGACTGATGCATAATTAGACATAACAATCAAGCTGCCTTCTATTAAGCTGAGCATTAAAGAGATTTGTAAATATGAAAAATGACACTACTCCCATTAAATTATTTAGCAACTAGTTATTTTTCATAGAAATGATACGTTAACAGAAAATGGCTTGTTATTTTTAGATGGATTAGTACGTAAATATTTGAAGCTGATCCCAACTCAAATTTGTAAGATGATAAATGTTGATACATTCCACCCACATAAGCAAGAGTTCCTTCGAGTCCTCAATAGTCTGTAAGAGCACAAGGCGGTTCTGGGACCGAACAGCTTGAGAACCGCTCCCTTATGGGCTGCCCAATCAAGTGAACACAGCACCAAGCTGGGTGTATGCTCACATCGCACAAGGTCCTCCCCTGCTTCTTTGGGCACGATGAAGCCGCCTAAAGGGGATCCCCACTCTGCTTCCATTCTCCTGTCACGGTATACAAGCAGTGAATGCTCAAGCTGGAAGTCCGGAAGAAAAGCATGCCATACGTTAATCCAGGCTGAACTCATCAGGATTAATGCGGTTGGAATGCATAGCAAATAAACTCATTATAACTGCTTTTCTTTAATCCAAGAATGTTCCAACCGATCATTCTACTCCTACAGATCTGGCGACTCGCTTTTTACCAAGGAAGGAGAATGCTACATACACTTCAGACCTTAAGGATTCAATTTCACTTGTGTCATAAACACAGCAAGCAACATTTCAACACCACCCCTGACAAGCTTCACTGAAAGGGTGTGGCTGTGACACCATGTGGCTCTGGGTAACGGGGGGCACCTGGCACACTGACGGGAAATATGTACGTAAAATAACATGGAAACACCAGCAAACATACTTCCACTGAGTAATTTACACATCAAAGGGAATCAGGTCTTCATTAAGTACACTGATGAACCACTAAAAATGCTTTCCCATTTATGAGACACAACCCCCAGCTCTTTGGCAACTTAAGTACCTGCTTTGCCTGTGAATGTGATTTTATTCCATTCATTCCACAAATGTCTTGGGCGCCAGATACAGTTTCAGAAACCAGAGAGGCGGCAGTGACCTTTATTGGACCAAAATCTCTGACTTCTTAAAGTCTATCACTGGAAATACCTCTCTGAAAACTAAGGATGGACGAAATATTCACTGGAGGAAGAACGCTTCTGGTTTCCTAAAGCAACTGCATGAAATCACCAGAAGTAAGATGAGCCCCAACTACACACGGGAAGGTCAGATGCTATGGTTACTGTAAGGAACAAAGCTACGGACAGCACAGTTCAAGGCGATCGGGGGATTTCTGTTAAGTTCACGGACTCTCACCGAGAACGCTGGCAAGAACGGAGCTCCTCTGGGAAGGCCCAGCAACCTATGGGACGCCCAAGGCAGTTCCCCAGCGGATGTGTGGGCTGTCAGAATCCTGAAAGGGGAGCATCTGTGGTTGAAAAAAGCAAATCATAATGAATTGTTTTCTTTGGCATGAATAGTTTTCAAATTTCAGCATAAGATTTATGTCGGTTAAAAGGGAGCACAGACTAAGAGGCTGAGTAGTTAAACAGAAACCACTTTTCTGCTCCAGGAAAGACGGGGAGGATAGAACCAAAGCCCCAAGTATAGGAAGGAGCCTGCAGTGTCCCCAGAACCAGCAGGGCAGGCTTCCGGGCATCACCAAAGGATCCAGAACTGAGCTCAGAGGCTCTCATACTTTCGTCTCCTGGTCCCCGGGGAGCCTGCTGCGTGGGCACTGTAGGAACCGCATCCAGAACAGTCCGGACTGTCCCAGCTGCACCTGCAACCCGCTGAGAGAACCACAGGAATATGGGAGTGATCCCTTCTCTCCTTCGGCCTCCCAGCCTTAACCCCGCACTTTAGATCTACCCAGAAATGATCAGACCCTTATTAACTGAAACAACATACCCTCAAGGGGCAGATCTGGAGGGTACCAGCATCCAAAATACTATGTTCTCCTATGTTTCCACTG